TTCGGGGCATGTGTTGGTTGGCAGTGAATGATGGCTCGATCTTGCATTGAACCTCACTCCTTCAAGGGAAGTGTGAGGCTTTGGTATGCTTGACAAGATGAAGGGTTGGGCAGTGTGGCGACTTTGATCCCGTTGATTCGGGGCATGTGTTGGTTGGCAGTGAATGATGGCTCGGTCTAGCATTGAACCTCACTCCTTCAGGGGAAGTGTGGGGCTTTGGTATGCTTGGCAAGATGAATGGATGGGCAGTGCGGAAACTGTGATCACGTTGATTCGGGGTATGTTGCTTGGCAGTGAATGATGGTTCGGTCTTGTATCTAACCTCACTCCTTCAAGGGAATTGTGGGGCTTTGGTATGCTTGACAAGGTGAACGGATGGGCAGTTTAGGGACTTTGTTCCTGGTGATTCGGGGCATGTGTTGGTTGGCAGTGAATGATGGCTCGGTCTGGCATTGCACCTCACTCCTTCAAGGGAAGTGTGGGGCTCTGATATGCTTGACAAGAAGAACGGTTGGGCGGTATGGGGACTATGTTCCCTTTGATTAGGCGTGTTCGTCTTTTGGCAGTGAATGATCGGTCGATCTTGCATTGAACCTCACTCCTTCAAGGGAAGTGTGAGGCTTTGGTATGCTTGACAAGATGAACGGTTGGGCAGGGTGGCGACTTTGATCCAGTTGATTCGGGGCATGTGTTGCTTGGCAGCGAGTGATCGCTCGGTCTTGCATTGGAACTCTGGCATTGAACCTCACTCCTTCAAGGGAAGTGTGGGACTCTGATATGCCTGACAAGATGAACGGTAGGACAGTGTGAGGACCTTGATCCCGTTGATTCGGGGCATGTGTTGCTTGGCAGTGAATGATGGGTCGGTCTGGCATTGAACCTCACTCCTTCAAGGGAAGTGTGGGGCTTTGGTATGCTTGACAAGGTGAACGGTTGGGAAGTGTGGGGACTCTTTTCCCCTTGATTAGGCATCTGAGTTGTTTGGCCATGAATAATCGGTCGACCTTGCATTGATCCTCACTCCTTCAAGGGAAGTGTGAGGCTTTGGTATGCTTGACAAGATGAACGGTTGGGCAGTGTGGCGACTTTGATCCCGTTGATTCGGGGCATGTGTTGCTTGGCAGTGAATGATGGCTCGGTCTAGCATTGAACCTCACTCCTTCAAGTGAAGTGTGGGGCCCTAATATGCTTGACAAGATGAACGGTTGGGCAGTGTGGGGACTGTGTTCCTTTTGATTAGGCGAGTGCATTGCTTGGCAGTGAATGATCGGTCGAACTTGCATTGATCCTCACTCCTTCAAGGGAAGTGTGCGGCTTTGGTATGCTTGACAAGATGAACGGTTGGGCAGTGCGGAGACTGCGATCCCGTTGATTCGGGGTATATGTTGCTTGGCAGTGAATGATGGTTCGGTCTTGTGTGTTGAACCTCACTCCTTCAAGGGAAGTGTGGGGCTTTGGTATACTTGACAATAGGAACGTTCAGACAGTGTGGAGACTTTGATACCGTTGATTCGGGGAATGTGTTGCTTGGCAGTGAATGATGGCTCAATCTTGCATTGAACCTCACTCCTTCAAGGGAAGTATGAGGCTTTGGTATGCTGGACGAGGTGAATGGTTGGGCAGTTCGGGGACTTTGTTCCTGGTGATTCGGGGCATGCGTTGCTTGGCAATGAATAATTGCTCTTTCCTGCATTGAACCTCACTCCTTCAAGGGAAGTGTGGGGCTTTGGTGTGCGTGACAAGATGAACGGTTGGGCAGTGTGTGGACTTTGATCCCGTTGATTCGGGGCAGGTGTTGGTTGGCAGTGCTTGATGGCTCGGTCTAGAATTGAACCTCACTCCTTCAAGGGAAGTGGGGGCTTTGGTATGCTTGGCAAGATGAACGGATGGGCAGTGCGGAGACTGTGATCACGTTGATTCGGTGTATATGTTGCTTGGCAGTGAATGATGGTTCGGTCTTGTATTGAACCTCACTCCTTCAAGGGAATTGTGGGGCTTTGGTATGCTTGACAAGATGAACGTTTGGGCAGTGTGGAGGCTTTAATGCCGTTGGCTCGAGGCATGTGTTGATCGGCAGTGAATGATGGATCGATCTTCCATTGAACCTCACTCCTTCAAGAGAAGTGTGGGGCTTTGGTACGGTTGACAAGATGAACGGTTGGGCTGTGTGGCGACTTTGATCCCGTTGATTTTGGGCATGTGTTGCTTGGCAGTGAATGATGGCTCGGTCTTGCATTGAACCTCACTCCTTCAAGGGAAGTATGAGGCTTTGGTATGCTGGACAAGGTGAATGGTTGGGCAGTTCGGGGACTTTGTTCCTGGTGATTTGGGGCATGCGTTGCTTGGCAATGAATAATTGCTCTTTCCTGCATTGAACCTCACTCCTTCAAGGGAAGTGTGGGGCTTTGGTGTGCGTGAAAAGATGAACGGTTGGGCAGTGTGTGGACTTTGATCCCGTTGATTCGGGGCATGTGTTAGTTGGCCTTGAATGATGGCGGCTTGGCATTGAACCTCACTCCTTCAAGGGAAGTGTGGGACTCTGTTATGCTTGACAAGATGAACGGTTGGGCAGTGTGGGGGCTTTGATCCCGTTGATTTGGGGCATGTGTTGCTTGGCAATGAATGATGGGTCGGTCTGGCATTGAACCTCACTCCTGCAAGGGAAGTGTGGGCGTCTGATATGCTTCACAAGATGAACTGTTGGGCAGTGTGTGAACTCTGTTCCCTTCGATTAGGCGTGTGAGTTTCTTGGCATTGAATAATCGGTCGATCTTGCATTGATCCTTCAAGGAAAGTGTGGGGCTGTAGTATGCTTGACAAGATGAACGGTTGGGCAGTGTGGCGACTTTGATCCCGTTGATTCGGGGCATGTGTTGCTTGGCAGTGAGTGATGGCTCGGTCTTGCATTTAACCTCACTCCTTCAAGGGAAGTGTGAGGCTTAGCTATTCTTGACAAGATGAACGGTAGGGCATTGTGATGACCTTGATCCCGTTGATTCGGGGCATGTGTTGGTTGGCAGTGAATGATGGGTCGGTCTGGCATTAAACCTCACTCCTTCAAGGGAATTGTGGGGCTTTGGTACGCTTGAGAAGGTGAACGGTTAGGCAGTTCGGCGACTTTGTTCCTGGTGATTCGGAGCATGGTTTGCTTGGCGGTGAATAATGGCGCTGTCCTGCATTGAACCTCACTCCTTCAAGGGAAGTGCGGGGCTCTGATATGCTAGACAAGGTGAACGGTTTGGCAGTGTGAGGACTCTGTTCCCCTTGATTAGGCGTGTGAGTTGCTTGGCAGTGAATGATAGCGCGAACTTGCATTGAACCTCACTCCTTCAAGGGAAGTGTGGGGCTCTAGTATGCTTGACAAGATGAACGGGTGGGCAGTGTGGCGACCTTGATCCCGCTGATTCGGGGCATGTGTTGGTTGGCAGTGAATGAGGGCTCGGTCTTGCATTGAACCTCATTCCTTCCAGGGAAGTCTGGGGTCCTAATATGCTGGACAAGATGAACGGTTGGGCAGTGCGGGGACTCTGTTCTCTTTGATTAGGCGTGTGCTTTTCTTGGCAGTGAATGATCGGTCGATCTCGCATTGATCCTCACTCTTTCAAGGTAAGTGTGCGGCTTTGGTATGCTTGACAAGATGAACGGTTGGGCAGTGCGGAGACTTGGATCTCGTTGATTCGGGTACATGTTGCTTGGCAGTGAATGATGGCTTGATCTTGCATTGCACCTCACTCCTTCAAGGGAAGTGTGGGCCTTTGGTATGCTTGACAAGAAGAACGGTTGGGCAGTGTGGGGACTTTGATCGTATTGATTCGGTGCATGTGTTGCTTGGCGGTGAATGATGGCTCGGTCTTGCATTGAACCTCACTCCTTCAAGGGAAGTGTGGGGCTTTTGTATGCTTAACAAGATGAACAGTTGGGCAGTGTGGTGGCAACTTAGTCCTGTTGATTCGAGGAATGTGTTGCTTGGCGGTGAATGATGGGGCGGTCTTGCAATAAACCTCACTCCTTCAAAGGGAGTGTGGGGTTCTGTTATGCTTGACAAGATGAACGGTTGGGCAGTGTGATGACTCTGTTCCCGTTGATTCGGGGCATGTGTTTCTTGGCATCAAATAATTGGTCGGTCTTGTATTGAACCTCACTCCTTCAAGGGAAGTGTGAGGCTTTGGTATGCTTGACAAGATGAATGGTTGGGAAGCTTGGTTACTCTTTTTCCCTAATTCGAGACGTGTGTTGCTTAGCAGTAAATGGCATCTCAGTGTTGTGTTCATCATCACTCCTTCAAGGGAAGTATTAAGCTCCGATTGGGTTGAAAAATGAATGATTTGCCAACCTTGTGTCTCCGTTCCCTGTTATTCGGGACGGATGTTGCTTGGCAGTGAATGATGGCTCAGTTTTGAATTCAACCTCACTCCCAAATGGGAAGTGTGAGTGTGTGGCTGTGGAACGATTGCAAATGAACAGTTCGCATATCTTTGTTACTCCATGGCCAGTGATTCTGTGGACAAGAGATGCTTTGCATTGAACAGTGGCTTGGCCTTGCTTTCAACCCCACACTCATTCAAGGGAAGTTTGGAACTGTAGTACTTCGAAGTACGTTTGAGAAGATGAATGTTTTGTTAGCTTTGTATTTTTTAGATTTTTTGGGAGGCTTGTATTGTCATATGGTACTTCCCGTAGAAGTCGTACCTCATGCATTAACATAGCGCAGGGTACAATACAGCCCTAGCACACACACACACACACAACACGCACACACACAACACACACACACACACACACACACGCACACGCACACACACACACACGCACACACACATGCACACACACACACATACATATACACACACACTGTTCTGTGCACTGGAATGTGGCACTGCTTTACTCAGGAGGTTAGATTTCTCTGGCCAGAGCTGTACAAACACTTTCTGTTGAACATTACTAATATTTCAGTCCTGAATTGAAAATCTTTTCCATTTGTTTTGCTATGCTTGTATCAGGCCTCATCACGGCAGAGACAATCAACTTAAGAAATGTATTAACTGTGACAGCAGGATGAAGAAGGTTAGATACTGTTGGAGCATGTTTATGTTTTTTTTTTCGTGCACATGCCGTCACGTGTGTGTGTGCGTGCGTGCGTGTGTGTGCGTGTGTGTGTGTATGTGTGTGTTCGTGCATGGAACAGTTTTTTCTCTCGGCGTTCTACGCCTGCCTATACATTTTCCGTGTGCCTAGCACCTTCGATTTTGCCTGGTGGACAAGCATGCATGAATAGCTTTCCAACGTTACAATCATTTATCACCTGTACCTGGCCCATATAAGACAGTGTTTAGCAGAAACACATGCAAAATAGTGAATAGAGTGGCGTGACATACTCATAGAAAGACCAGCAGTACAATCCCAGTATATATTTCTATGGAATGATCTGTTACTATCTCATAAGATTGTACTTTGTCGTGTCCACTGTCAATGTGCAAATTGAAATCTTCATGCAGATTATAGATACATCTGGGATGGTGTCGTGGCTATGCCTGAATCAATCTATCCTGACATCGTCATCATTGTCATGTCTAAGCAGTATCAAATCAGAGATGTGGCGGATGTTGCCTGCTACTCAACGTTCTGATGGTGGCTGAAAAGTGTTTTGAAGGTAAGAACTCCAGTCCAAAACTGACTGCATGCTTCATAGTGGTGGAAATGGAATACAGACTGACCGGCCGCTACAGATACCGTACTTTACGCAGTACAAGCCTCGCTTTAAACATCAGTAGTTTACCCACAAAAAAAAAACAGTCGTAGCGGCTTATACTACGATGGTATGGCTTATACCGTACTGGCAATATATGTTGCCGCGTAACGCGTAACGCAGGGGGTGCGGCGTAACGCGCGACCAGGCTAGTGCGACAAATTTTCGTTGAGTTCGTAACGCGCGTCCGGCGGGGTGCGGCGATCTTTTCATTACAGTTTGCACTCCAAAAAAAGGCTGAAAACTGTGAAAGCACGTGTACCGCGTGGTGAAAAGTCGCCAGCAGCAGTGATCTGGTGATGGCTCGAGCAGCGATGACGACTCCAGCAGCAGTGATGACTAATGATAGCCACGGTGACTTGTAATAATGTTGTACACTCATTAACTGTGTGAGTGACAGTAGTTTTTGGAGGAAGCGCTCTTCCCCTATATCACTTTCCTTTTGATGATCTTTTTTGTGAACAGATCACTCTGATAGTTAAAATATACAGTCTTCTATTGATATCGTTGTCGCCCTTTGCCGTCGGGTTTGTAACAGTTGGATAGCAACTGAATTTCTGTGCCTTCAATGTGGATGAAAAGAAAAAATGATGCGGCAAAAGCAAAAAAATGATGCGGCAATAGCAAAAAAGTGATGCGGCAATAGCAAAAAAAGGACTGCGGCAATATAGAAACCTGTGTAACGGCTCCTGTGCGACTTTGCATGTAACGCCCTGCGTGCGGCAAACATGTGCCAATGTAACGCTTCATGGCCTCACTGCGGCAACATATATTGCCAGTACGGTACTACGATGGTCGAATTAACGGTGCAAAATGGGGCAGATGTCTGTATTTCATGACAAACAAATCTGGGTATGGCTTATACTCTAGTGCGATGTATACTCCTGCGGTACGGTAACGACATGCAGCTATCTGCAGCCTCGTGGGCACACACATGCATTGATGTGGCAATCGCTCAAGTGCTGTGGAGATAAAACAAAGTGTACATGTCCCTGGCATGTACTCGAAGCGTGAAGATCATATTTTGGCATTCATTTACTGGTTTTGTGTAGGGCTGTGCAGTACTACACTCAAACGTCTCTTATCCCATTGCATTGGTACCCGGCATAGACCATACGTATCTCAGATAATGCTGTATCATGCTATCTGATGAGTGTTTCACACGAAACTCTGAGTAACGACGGAAAAGGACTTTGTTGCGTCATTGCTGTGTGATCATTGTATCGTATCTCAGATATATAGGTATTGCAGTAGACCTTATGGTTCAAGCAGAAAGGCTTCCGTTGGCAAGTGACGCTCACTTTGTTTCGGATCACCCATATTATAGGGTTCATTGTAGATCTTGATATGCCAGAGGAATATTTTGTATCACATTCACCGCTTGTTGCCTAAATCTGTAACAGCAAGCTCACCCATGTTTGTGTGCATGGATATGTACGTGTGTGTGTGCGTGTGTGTATGTGTATGTGTGTGTGTTTGTGTGTGCGTGCGTGCGTGCGTGCGTGCGTGTGTGTGTGTGTGTGTGTGTGTGTGTGTGTGTGTGTGTGTGCGGGCGTCCGTGTGTGCATGCATGTGTTCTAATTTGTATACCCAGATTATCATCAACCTGGGATCCATGCAAGGTATCGCTGTTGCTGTCGGCCTCCTTTTCTGACACCTTGCTGAGGCTGCTGGCATTGGCCACTTTTCACAATTCTGAATAAAACAAACCTAAACTCGCCAGTGTGCTCTACTTCTTGCTGCTGCTGCTGCTGCTGCTGCTGCTGCTGCTGCTACTGCTGCTGTCGGTGCGGGTTTTGTCAGAGTGAGGGGTGCAGCGGTTTGTTCTTGTGTGGTTGACTGGATTAATCCTGGAGGTATACTATTATAATATTCCTCACGGACCTAACTTAGGTTGCATGCAAGTAGTAAGCTAGCTGTCTGCAAGTAATATGCTTGCTGTCCGCTCTGTGTCGGAACTGTACTGCGGTGTATGCATGAGTAACTATGCAGTGGAGGGAGCAATCAGTTTGCCGCGATGCTTATTGTTTTTGTAGAAAGGCAACGGACTTGAGTTTCCACCAACTTTCCGGCATATGGAATAAATTCAAACATTCTTGTATGGAATCTTGCGACTTCTGAACAAAGATTGACCTCCCAGTGCATGTAGCCCGGGGACATTTCAACCTTGACCCCGCCTTTTTCTTGCATGTGGGTTATTTTCTTCTTAGTTTGACCTGCTTAGCTTGACCTCACGGTTGACCTTCCTTGCTGCATGTGGGTTATTTTCTTAGTTTGACCTCACGGTCGTGTGTGGGTTGTTTTCATGGCGTAGCTTGACCTAAATCAGCAAATTTCCAGTTCTCACTAGAGATATCCAACCTCATGATTAAAATTAATGTAGCGCAGCACGCCGCGTTGAATTTCGCAGAGCAGTGGTGTGTGTGTGTGGTGCTGGGACCGCATAGCCCCCCCCCCCCCCGCTATTATTGTTCATGAGGTCGGATTTCTCTGGCCACGCCAGTGCATGTGTCAGTGAGTAGCAAAATGAAGGAGTTGTCATTTAGCACGGAATATTGACGGAATATTGAAAGCCCATAATTATGATGTTGGTAGTTTGAACCGCATTGTGAGTCACTGCATGGAAACAAGTAGAGGATTTTCGTCGCTAAATTCAGATCAACAATACATACATAGTCATTATAGACACTTTCTTCGATAGCGCTAACGATTACCGTACCGGTATAATTATGTATTTACGGACGGCCCGTTCGAAGGGGTCGTCCGGATCCCGATTACATCATGTAGAAAGTAGAAAGCTTGAATAATATTCAAGGCGCGGTGAGCGAAAACTAACTCGTCTTCCCCCGCGACGGAAGCCCCGGCCCGCGCTCCCACTGGCCGGGCCACCGCACTATGGACGCAATACGCATGCGCGACATTTGCAATTAGATGCAGCTGCAAGATCTTGCACAGTTGCAGGCCTCTTCTTCGCGTTTTGAAGTCTCCTTGGAGTGCAGGCCAATGAATTTGATTAGCGGTTCCTTGAGTAATAACGGAGCTGCCAACGTGCAACCTCCAGGGTTTGAGACTTTGACAGAAAGTGTGATACCAATTTAGCAGAGGTTGAGGCCGAAGAGGTCGGAATAGCCTGGCTAGATTTGAGAAACATTCTGAAGCAAGAAATTCCAGAAATAATAAAAGAGAGCAGGACCGGCTTCCATCTTCAAATAAGGTAAGCAACAATCTCGAATCAATACATCGCTACACAGAGTGCCTTGTATTATGCATGCGCTTGTGTCTTCCGCCTGTTGTTTTATAATTATTATAATTTCTGTACATCTAGCTTTTCACCCTTGCTCCTTCAGGGAAGTTGCGAGGCTCTGCATTGCTTGATGATGTAAACGACTGGTACAGTTTTGCAACTCAATACCCGGTGATTCGGGGATGTGTTGCTTGGCAGTGAACAATTTGAACAATGGCTTAGTCCCGCATTCAACCTCACTCCTTCAACGGTGAAGTGTGGGGCTCTGATACGCTTGCCAACTGAACGGTTTGGGCAGCCTTGTGACTCCATACCCGGTAATTCGGGACGTGTGTTGCTTGGCATTGAACAATGGCTAAGTCTTGCTTTCAACCTCTCTCCTTCAAGGGAAGTGTGGGGCTCTGATACGCTTGACAACTGAACGGTTTGGGGAGCCTTGCGACTCCATACCCGGTGATTCGGGACGTGTGTTGCTTGGTGTTGAACAATGGCTTGGTCTCGCATTCAACCTCACTCCTTCAAGGGAAGTGTGGGGCTCTGATACGCTTGACAAATAAACAGTTGGGCAGCCTTGTGACTCCATACCCGGTGATTCGGGACGTGTGTTGCTTGGCATTGAAGAATGGCTCAGTCTTGCTTTCAACCTCGCTCCTTCAAGGGAAGTGTGGGGCTCTGATACGCTTGACGACTGGACGGTTTGGGCAGCCTTGTGACTCCATTCCCGATGATTCGGGACGTGTGTTGCTTGGTATTGAACAGTGGCTTGGTCTCGAATTCAACCTCACTCCTTCAAGGGAAGTGTGGGGTTGCCGTTATGTTTAACAAGATGAAGGGTTGGGCAGTGTGGGGACTTTGATCCCGTTGACTCAGGGCATGTGTTGCTTGGCAGTGAATGATGGCTCGGTCTTGCATTGAACCTCACTCCTTCAAGGGAAGTGTGAGGCTTTGGTATGCTTGACAAGATGAACGGATGGGCAGTTCAGGGACTTTGTTCCTGGTGATTCGGGGCATGTGTTCCTAGGCAGTGAATAATGGCTCTGTCCTGCATTGAACCTCACTCCTTCAAGAGAAGTGTGAGATTTTGATATGCTTGACAAGATGAACGGTTGGGCCGTGTCGTGACTTTGTCCTGGTGATACGGGGCGTGCGTTGCTTGGCAGTGAATGATACCTCGGTCTTGCGTTGAACCTCACTCCTTCAAGGGAAGTGTGTGGTTCTGTTATACTTGATGAACAGTTGGGCCGTGTGATAACTGTTCCCATTGATTCGGGGCATGTGTTGCTTGCCAGTGAATGATGGGTCAGTCTTGCATTGAACCTCACTCCTTCAAGGGAAATGTGGGGCCCTGATATGCTTGACAAGATGAACAGTTGTCAGTGTGGAGACTTTGGTCCCGTTGATTCGGGGCATGTGTTGGTTGGCAGTGAATGATGGCTCGGTCTTGCATTGAACCTCACTCCTTCAAGGGAAGTGTGGGGTTCTGATATGCTTGAGACGAAGAACGGTTGGGCAGTATGGCGACTTTGATCCCGTTGATTCGGGGCATGTGTTGCTTGGCAGTGAATGATGGCTCGGTCTTGCATTGAACGTTATTCCTTCAAGGGTAGTGTGGGCCTTTGGTATGCTGGACAAGATGAACGGTTGGGCAGCGTGCGAACTCTCTTCCCTTCGATTAGGCGTGTGTGTTGCTTGGCAGTGAATGGTCGGTCGATCTTGCATTGATCCTCACTCCTTCAAGGGAAGTGTGAGGCTTTGGTATGCTTGACAAGATGAACGGTTGGGCAGGGTGGCGACTTTGATCCCGTTGATTCGGGGCATGTGTTGCTTGGCAGTGAGTGATGGCTCGGTCTTGCATTGAACCTCACTCCTTCAAGGGAAGTGTGGGGCTTTGATATGCTTGACAAGATGAACGGTTGGGCAGTGTGGAGGCTTTGATGCCGTTGATTCGGGGCATGTGTTGCTTGGCAGTGAATGATGGATCGATCTTCCATTGAACCTCTGGCATTGAACCTCACTCCTTCAAGGGAAGTGTGAGAATCTGATATGCCTGACAAGATGAACGGTAGGGCAGTGTGAGGACCTTCATCCCGTCGATTCGGGGCATGTGTTGCTTGGCAGTGAATGATGGTTTGGTCTGGCATTAAACCTCACTCCTTCAAGGGAAATGTGGGGCTTTGGTTTGCTTGACAAGGTGAACGGTTGGGCAGGGTGGCGACTTTGATCCCGTTGATTCGGGGCATGTGTTGGTTGGCAGTGAGTGATGGCTCGGTCTTGCATTGAACCTCACTCCTTCAAGGGAAGTGTGGGGTTCTGATATGCTTGAGACGAAGAACGGTTGGGCAGTGTGGCGACTTTGATCCCGTTGATTCGGGGCATGTGTTGGTTGGCAGTGAATGATGGCTCGGTCTTGCATTGAACCTTATTCCTTCAAGGAAAGTGTGGGCCTTTGGTATGCTGGACAAGATGAACGGTTAAGCAGCGTGCGAACTCTCTTCCCTTCGATTAGGCGTGTGTGTTGCTTGGCAGTGAATGATCGGTCGATCTTGCGTTGATCCTCACTCCTTCAAGGGAAGTATGAGGCTTTGGTATGCTTGACAAGATGAACGGTTGGGCAGGGTGGCGACTTTGATCCCGTTGATTCGGGGCATGTGTTGGTTGGCAGTGAGTGATGGCTCGGTCTTGCATTGAACCTTACTCCTTCAAGGCAAGTGTGGGGCTTTGATATGCTTGACAAGATGAACCGTTGGGCAGTGTGGAGGCTTTGATGCCGTTGATTCGGGGCATGTGTTGCTTGGCAGTGAATGATGGATCGATCTTCCATTGAACCTCTGGCATTGAACCTCACTCCTTCAAGGGAAGTGTGGGAGTCTGATATGCCTGACATGATGAACGGTAGGGCAGTGTGAGGACCTTCATCCCGTTGATTCGGGGCATGTGTTGCTTGGCAGTGAATGATGGGTCGGTCTGGCATTGAACCTCACTCCTTCAAGGGAAGTGTAGGGCTTTGGTATGCTTGACAAGGTGAACGGTTGGGCAGGGTGGCGACTTTCATCCCGTTGATTCGGGGCATCTGTTGCTTGGAAGTGAGTGATGGCTCGGTCTTGCATTGAACCACACTCCTTCAAGGGAAGTGTGGGGTTCTGATATGCTTGAGACGAAGAACGGTTGGGCAGTGTGGCGACTTTGATCCCGTTGATTCGGGGCATGTGTTGCTTGGCAGTGAGTGATGGCTCGGTCTTGCATTGAACCTCACTCCTTCAAGGGAAGTGTGGGGCTTTGATATGCTTGACAAGATGAACGCTTGGGCAGTGTGGAGGCTTTGATGCCGTTGATTCGGGGCATGTGTTGCTTGGCAGTGAATGATAGATCGATCTTCCATTGAACCTCTGGCATTGAACCTCACTCATTCAAGGGAAGTGTGGGACTCTGATATGCCTGACAAGATGAACGGTAGGGCAGTGTGAGGACCTTCATCCCGTTGATTTGGGGCATGTGTTGCTTGGCAGTGAATGATGGGTCGGTCTGGCATTGAACCACACTCCTTCAAGGGAAGTGTGGGGCTTTGGTATGCTTCACAAGGTGAACGGTTGGGCAGGGTGGCGACTTTGATCCCGTTGATTCGGGGCATGTGTTGGTTGGCAGTGAGTGATGGCTCGGTCTTGCATTGAACCTCACTCCTTCAAGGGAAGTGTGGGGTTCTGATATGCTCGAGACGAAGAACGGTTGGGCAGTGTGGCGACTTTGATCCCGTTGATTCGGGGCATGTGTTGGTTGGCAGTGAATGATGGCTCAGTCTTGCATTGAACCTTATTCCTTTCTAAG